GGCTCTTGATCGGGGTGACGGGGAGCCCGGGCACCCGTCAGCCGCTTTGCAGGCCAAATTCCAATCGTGTTTTGTTTTAGCATGTAACTTTCTCAAGTTACTGCAAGTCTCATTCTGGTTTTTGAATTTTTCAGCCTGATGATTTGGGGTATAGAGCTTTATGCTGGAAGCAGAGTAGCCTCACGCTCTAATGCAGGCTTTTAGTGTATGGTAAAGGATTTTTTGCAGGTGTGAAGGCATCGTGTGTAACAAGCCTAGTCTAGACATGGAGAGTTGCTGATGGTGGCTTATTCTGGGCTTGCTTACAATTAACAAGAGGGTAGTCACTACAACTTGAGCCTCAGCTGCCTTGCCAAGCAAGTACGGATACATGTAGCTTCTAAAGAAGCTGAGAGAATGCGTCAAATTTTACTGGTCTTGCCGTTACCAGGTGTTTTAAGACCACAGAATAAAGGCCTGTGAATAACTTGTGCAGGGTAGCATGAAAGGCTGAGAGTCCTGGAAAAATCTTGCTTGTGAAAGAGGCGTTACATGACTGCAGTTACAAAAAGCTGTGTTCAATCAGTGGTTTAGACAAACAGAGGGGTAACCCAATGCTTCAGGAAATGCATTGTTGCAGAGAGGTTGAAATAAACAATTTAAATATGTGTGGTTGGAAGTAATGGAAAAGTAGGAACAGAAGTTCCAGAAGCTTATAAAGTTGTGTTATTGCTGAGCGATGCTTGCAGCTTGTTTGGGTGCCCTCTAAATGATGAATAAGCAAGTTGAATGCTGCACTTGTGCAGATCACTTAATCTTGAATGTTTTCATGGAGCACTCGGGGAGCACTGGTGTTTTACCACATGGTGTTTTACTTCTGTATTTATTGAGGAGCCAGGGAAAGTACAAGTTACACAAATACTGAATGTTGGAAAGTTTGAATGGCTGAGGAAGCTGAGGGATCTCTCTGTTGCTGTGAAGAGCGGCTGCTATTTTATATATGCTCATCCTATGCTGAGGTGGTTTCATCAAGCACATGAGGAGATGCTGATGCAATAAAACTGCTTTTTCTTATTAAGTGGCAGCTAAGGCACTTGGTGTGAATGGAAGCAAAGCAGCTTGATATCTGAACGAGGCAATCCTGATCTAATTAATGTTTTATTATTTGATGAAAGTGGTTAGTTTGAGTTGTGCTGTTGGAGTAAGGGTAGTATTCCTGACTGCTCCTTTACTCTGTAGCAAGTATTTACTCTGTTCCTTAGGTTATCCTTGTTTTAAAATACATATAATTACTTCACAGAAGTAGTGTTGAAGCGTAATTACGTGTTTTGTAAAGCAGCCTGTGATCCCCTGGTGAATGGGTGGGTGACTTTTTCCTTTCCTGTAGTGTGAGGTGATCATGTACTATGTAATTATTTTTTCTGATTTTTGGTGGTACAAGCAATTGCTGTGTCACTGCTCTCAAGTATTCTGGATACATTTATTCATTCTTAGGTTGACTAGTTTATAAAATATATCAACATAACTATTTTAAACTTGTAAGCACCATCCCCAGTATTCCAGTTAGAAACTTCACTCTATAATCAGTAACTTTGGTTTTTAACCTGTTGGGTTTTTTTCGTACAATGTTGCTTTTTTTTTTTTTAACTGAATGTAAAAATTAAAATAATCTCTGGGGCCTGCCTTATTACAATATGTAGTAGCTTTTCAACTTTAGTCAAAAACAGTGTTGATAAAACTACATAAATTACGGAACTTAATTTTGAATGCCAAAAATTATCTTATTTGATTTGTATGAAAGAACACATTTTCTAAAAACATGCACAACTGGTATATTTCTGAGCCTTTAATAATACAGCTCCTGACTGGATCCTTGTGGGAGGGAACTATTTATAGATGCCCATTCACTGAGTTTGTCATGCAAGAATGCTTTTGATGTGTTCCCTTGAAGCAATGGTTTTATACATGAAAGAGATGGCATATGCTAGATTTATGATGAAATATTTGACTCTTCAGAACTAATTTGATTCTTTGCAAAGAAGTTTGACACACGTTTTCAGTTGGGAAGCATCCTGATGAAATTTCAGCTCTGACTGATTTTCTTGTTCTTGACAAAGTTTGTGTTAAGTTGCCGGCCTTAATTTCTGACTCTGTTTTGTTTGTTTGTTTAATAGCAAATTTCTTATTTATGCCTGCCTGCTGCTTTTTTCTGTGTTGCTCTCTCTACGTCTGGATGACAAAATTCAATGGAGTTACTGGGCTGTATTTGCTCCAATATGGCTCTGGAAGCTAATGGTGATCGTTGGTGCCTCGGTGGGAACAGGAGTATGGGCCCGAAACCCGCAGTATCGGTAAGTTGAGAATATTTATTTTGCAAAACAGAGGGAACATAATGTGTTTTCCACACTGAATCAAATTCATAAATAGCGTTTTTAACAACATAAGATAAAGCATCCAGAAGGTTTGTTTTCAACATATTTAAAATAATTGTCATAACCTATAGGGTATGCAAACAGCTTTATGCAGCTATGGATGTCTTAATCCTAGTTGCAACAGTTTATTACAGGCTTCAACAGTATTGTCTTTGGGAAGCTAAAACTTCTCATGGAGTGACTTTTTGTGCTTTTCTGTTATACCTAACGTATACGTAGGGAATTCTTTGCTTTATTGCAAGCCATATAGAAATAGGTATTTTCAGTGTGATAGGAATATACTATATTTAATTGGATTATATTCTAAATCAGTTTCCTGAAATGTACAGATCAGCCTAAAGAATGTTGATATCTTTTTTTTATTTTTCCCCTCTCCCTGGTGCACATATAACCTCAGTGAACATATGGATGAATATTCAGTGATTCTTGAATATGCAGTGAACATAGAGACTTTTTTTCAAACTTTAGTTGTAGTTTTATAAGAAATATTCAAATAGTTTAATACACTAATGTAGGCAAATGGGTAACATTTGCAAAGTACGATGTTTGTGGGAACAAATTCTGTAAAATCCTTTTAATTTTTGTCCAAGTTGTTTGATATTTTGTCAGTCTAGGGTAAAATAACTTTCAGACCTTTAAATACATCAGTGTTTACTTTTTTGGTGATCTGAGTAGGATGTGAATTTGAATGTGCTGGGGAGAAGAAAAACTAATTAAATGAAGAGCAATAAATTCAATCCTCTATCTGTGGTGAATATTAAATGAAAAATTTTCTACGCAGGTCTTATTCTGATGCACTTCATTGTGTGGTTCAGGTCTTGTTTGCCCCTTCTAGTAATGGTTCTACTTGTGTAGGTAAAAGGGTGGTTTCCCTGTGTGTGCTGTTATTTCACAGGCATTTTACTTTTTAGTAATAGGTAATACTCTGTTGCAATATGCTGATTTTGGTGAATAAAGAAATTCTGGGGAAAGATGTTGATTCAGTGAAAGATGGTGCAGGAACCCAGCAGATCATGTTAGACTTAGCTTATTTCCCAACAGCCTGTATGATATCCGAGTGTTTACATAGTAGCAAAGAAATCCTGTTTTATCTGCGCAGCTATGGAATATGAGAAAATTTTCAAGTTGTAAAAGTCCCACTGCCTCCTTTGAGTAAAATACTTTAAATGTGCAGCTCTATGGGCAAGAAATCCTGTTATGTCATCAAGAGCGTAGTCTTAACAGTGGCTATTGGGGCATAATGTGTATGTTTTTTAAAAATGTGTTAATATTTGGAACTTCACAATTGTAAACAAAGTGTCTTGGGGTGTTTGCAGTATAGTGTGCTTTCTTATTGACAAGTGAACTGAATGCTTCCTTATCCTCTCTTTAGAGCAGAAGGAGAAACCTGTGTGGAGTTCAAAGCGATGTTAATTGCAGTAGGCATCCACCTGCTTCTGCTGATGTTTGAAGTTCTGGTGTGTGACAGGATCGAAAGAGGAACCCATTTCTGGCTTCTGGTCTTCATGCCGTTATTCTTTGTATCTCCGGTGTCAGTGGCAGCTTGTGTGTGGGGATTCCGACATGACAGGTCTCTGGAGGTAATGCTTCATTTGCTATGTGTGAAACTTGTGGCAATGCAAAACTCCGTATCTATCTGGTTGCAGTTCATCTCTCAGTAAAGCATGATGTGGATGACTGCATCAGTTGAATTAATTGCTTGCACTGACCTGCTAGGGTGAAAAATCAGGATTGGGAATAATAGTAATTTTTTCTAATCTCTTCTAGTTTTTTCAACTATTACAGCATGGTTTAAACCTGCCCTTCTATTATTGTGTGTTTAAAAAAAAAAAAAAAACTCACCATAAACTCTGCAATATGGACTAACACTAGACACTAAAATGGAAAATGCTGAAGAAAATTCCGCTGATAGTAAGCGCTGCCCCTCAGCACGGTTTTTATTTTCTGCCTCTGTCTCTCTGCTCTAACTCACTCCTTTTAGTTTTGGAAGAACTTTGCAAGTTTTTTCAAGATCTTTCCACAGTTGTGACATTTTGCAATAAATTTAGAGTTCTTACTGAATTGATTTTTTTTTAAAGGATTTTTTTTTTTTGCTGTAGCCTCAAACTACCCCATGACAAGTAAAAATCTGGTTTTTAGGCGAGGTTCAGCTTTTAATTTCAAGGGAATATTTCTCTGATGTTAGCATAAACCAAGTTTATAACTAGAGAAACACTTTTTGTAAGTGATTGTTAGGATGGCTGGTAAACTGATACCTTAAATTGTTGGTTTAAAAATACTGCAAATAGAACTTAATTTTGCAGAGTTCTATTCATTCCTAAAAGTAAAATCTGTGTAGAAGTACTTGCCTTCTACTGGATGATGCTTGATAACCCACTGATTTAACAGATGACTACACAGCTGCTATGTAATGGCAGAAAAAAATGGAATCCACTCACCCCTAAAAGGCAACAGCTGTCTCCAAGAAAATAAGTTATGCAGTTGAATGGTCAACTATTTTTTTTTCCTATGTTGTCATCTTCACTTAGTGTTGTTCTACTTTCTTTTCTTTTTACTCTGGGAAGATTTCATTATTTCCCTTTCACTAGATGGAAGCATAAGAGGGGCCTGTCTTTAATCCAGGATATTAATTTTTGGCATGAGTAATCAAAGTAGTTGTTAATCTATTATTATTTTCATAATTATTTAATCTGAAAATATATTTTCTGCTTCTTCCTCTTCTGAAATTAAGTGATAAGTAAGTATATGGTGGGGTTTTGTCTATGTATCATGTCATGGTGGGCTCAGAAAAAGCTTTCTTTCGTGTGTTACACTATTTTTACAGTCAATAAAGCACCATTTAAGGCATATTGAATTCATTAAATCGTGAGCCTAGCCACTCCAAATATACATGCACTTGCCATATGCAGCTCAAATGCTAACTTGATACTAAAATTTATCACAATTGATCCGCTGATTTTTATTTTATTTTTTTCTCTATTTGCTCTTGCAGTTTTCAGGTTGCTTGGTCTTACGCTTGAGTGAGGGGCTTTTTGGTGGTTTATTCTTTTGAGAAAGCCAGTGGTATAAAATTGTTTTAAATCCAGTTTTCCAGTCTTTTTAAAGTAACCTGGTCTTCAACAATGAAGTGTCTGTGTTCAGACACAACAGTGTTGTGTCTGAAGTAGGCAAGTGCCTGCTGCCTGTTGAGTTTTTGACTTCTTGTACTGTGAATTTCAAAGGCATTTATCCAAGAGAGAGATCACAGTATACAATCATGTATGTTAGTGAAAAGTAGCATGTAGTGTCTGCCTTCTGAGAAATAGTACTTTTAAAGGATGCCTTGCTTCCCTACATGTTTTTTTTAAAAATGGAAAATGTTTCTAACTTACTCGAGAGCTTCAGTTAGTCTTTTCAAATAGTAATTCTCTGTTTGATCTTTGAAATTCCTACCCATGTAGGGTTGCCCATAAACTTGAGAAACAGAATCTTGCCAAGTCTGATGGGTTTTGTTGTTTCACTTTGTTCGAGCTAGACACAAACTGTTATTTTTTAAGTATAATTTCGAGCTAGTTCTCATAGTGGCAAGCAGGACGTGAAAGGCTTTCATTAACATTTTTAATGAGCATTGCCTTCCTGTATTGCCTGAAAACCCAAGTGTCTTCAGTGTCACTTAAAATATCTCTCGATTATGCAGTAAATGATTGAATTTGGATGTTGTCTTCCACAATTCTATGTATTTGTTTTTCCCCCAGATACAGCTGGGACTTTTAAACTGGACTGTTGATAGTGAAACTCATGTAACTTTCATCTTTACATTACTGCAACTACTAAACATTGTCTTTAAAGATAAATTTTGCTTCTTTTTATTGAAGGACTTTTTACTACTTGTAATTTGATTCTAGGAGATAATTCTTATCTGAAGAAAATAGTTGAAGTTATTTTCCAATGCTTTGCTTTTTTCAGTCTGATTAGTTTGGCTTTTCTTATTTCTCTTATCAGTCTAATAAGTGTTGCAGGTAGTGCTTTCCTTTTTTTTTCTTTTTTTTTTTTTTTTTGAAATAATAGGAAGGTTTTTCCTTCAGCTGCCTCTACAGTTGGGATCACAGCCTTCCAAATTTACAGATGCTTAGTAATGTCTAATGTAAATGCAAATGATGTTCCATATTGCAGTGGTAAGCGTGGAGTCAGAAAAGTCCTTTGACAGATTCTTTGGCTATCTTGGCAATAACTTTATCATGCTAAGAGTTAACTAATGTATTTTCTTTTTCTAGCTGGAAATCTTGTGTTCAGTCAATATTCTACAGTTCATATTTATTGCACTCAGACTAGACGAGATCATCAGATGGCCGTGGCTTGTACGTAATGAGCATTTTCTTCTTATCCTTGTTTAAATGATGAATTTCATCGTTGCAGGGAACAGTTAGTGTATCATCAGAGTCCATGATGATATTTTTGCTGGCTTAACAGTCCTTCACTGAAGGTCTGGCATTTCATTTCAGTGGTCATGGGAAACAGGGGCTGTTGTTCGGGCACTTCGTCCTTTGGGGGGGAGAGGGATGTGCCATCAACTGCAATTAATCTCTAGTAAGTTGTTGAAAGAGAAATCCTAACCAAAAGTTTCCAGTGGGAACACTGAACTAGCCATGACAATGATGGGTGAGTTAGGGAATGTGTTGGTAAATATGGTGTGGTAAATAACTAGTTTTATTTGTTGTGTTACCATGCATGTAAATCCACTTATTATGCAAGCGGTCACTGTGAAAACTGCTGAGATCTCCTGTCCCAAGTGCCTTTAGAATACGAAAGTGCCGCTTCTGTGTCTGGGTTTTTGCAAACTACCATAAAACTGATAAACTGGAGTGATTATGACTGTCCTTTCTGTTTTCAAAAAAACTGGGAAAAGAATCTGACTTAGAAACTGTTTCAAGTAAGTTGTCCAGTGTAGAAAATAGTTGCTAAAATCAATTTGAAGTAGTGTTTGAGCCAAGGTAAAATCACAGTAATAAATAAAAGTCTTATTAAAGTTGAACTACATGGACTTAATTTTAAATTGCTTCAGGTTGATGGGATTTACAAAGCTGTGGAACCCCAGAAAGCTGCTATGGCTCATAACAGGGCACGCAATTTGTTAAGCTTTTCTATTAGAGATTTTATTAGTTAAAGAACATAAGACTTAAATTTCTTTTTCCTATTTAGACTTAATATGTAACTTGCTTTATTTAAAAAAACCCCACACCTTAAATGAATCAAACTGCTAAAAATATATTGCCATCAGCAGGGGAAGATAGCAGTTAATTTCTTTTTCTTTCAGGTTGTTTGTGTTCCACTGTGGATCTTGATGTCCTTTCTGTGTCTAGTAGTGCTCTATTACATTGTATGGTCTGTTCTGTTCTTGCGCTCTATGGATGTGATTGCTGAGCAAAGGAGGACGCACATAACAATGGCTGTCAGCTGGATGACAATTGTAGTTCCACTGCTCACATTTGAGGTAGGAAAAAGCATAATGAGTTTGGTGTATCTTGTTCTTTTCTCAGTGAGTGATGAATGTTGTTGGGTCTCTTTTTGAACTTACTAAAATGAGAATACTGCTTTTTGGTTTGGAATAAAATATTAACGGCAAATACAAAAGAAACACAAGAATTCTGTTTCTTTAAAGTTTTTTTGAATCAAATATGCATCACAGTGAGAACTGTAACTTCATGTTTCTGTGAAGGACAGTTTTCTTTACAGATGTGTCAAGTTAAAGATCTGAGATCAATATATGTTTTAAGAAGCTTGAAAGTGGGTTTTGCAGTTAAACTGACACTATTTTTTTTTTTTGCCTTTTAGATCTTACTAGTACACAGACTGGATGGGCACAATTCTTTTTCTTTTATACCCATATTTGTTCCTCTCTGGCTTTCACTGATAACTTTAATGGCAACAACATTTGGACAAAAAGGCGGAAATCACTGTAAGTATTTAAAAATCATGGAAACAGCTTGAGGCTCAAGGCTTAAATGTATTTCATTGAGATTTGTATCTTCAAAAAGGGCTTTTTTGTGAATATTCTCTCACGAAAGAATTCAGATGTGTCTGTTACTGTTGTAAATATTTATGTAAATTTGAAAAAAGACCATCCATCTGAAGACTTGCATGAAAAATCCACCTTTAAAGTGCTAAGCAAAGTACAGCAGTTGGCCATGAAGTATAATCTGCAAAAAGATGGGTTGTATGAGATCTTCCCTGGCAAACACTTAGTGCCTTGCTTTTGTTCAGGGGGAAAGATCTGACATGGGCAGGCTGTTCCTTTTAACACTGACCTAATGGAGGAGTGCCATCTGCTGAATTACAAGTGCTGCTTACTTAAATGCTCCTTGCGAGTCTTTACATATAGCAAAATACATGACAAACACAATGTGTATTGTTTTCTAATCTAGTGCAGGTAATACCAAGGATGAGATACACCTGGCATCACATTATATTTGGCTAACAACAAAAGTATTTGGGGAATACTGAATACATATGTTTACTAATTTGTGTTTGAGTGCCATCACATTCCTTCTGGTATTGTAACCTGTATGTATCAAAGAAAAGTTGGCATGAATGTCTTCCCACGTGGCACTGATAGCTTTGATGGAGATGCAAAGTCTTCTGTGTTCTTTCTGTGTGCACTGATGTGACCTGACACTGCTTGACATGTGAAATTAAGTGGATTCTTGCTGTGGTAGTATAGCTGTAATCTATGCATATGGATATACACACACAGACATGCATGTGCAGAGGCATGCAAATGCCTGTATATATTCTGTAGGTATGTCTGTGTATATAATCTGAACTGTAATGTTGTGTATGTTACTTACACCTAATATGATAGGTGTAAGTAACACAGAGAAGTGGCACTACCAAATTTTATATTCATATGCAAGCAATCAGGAGAACTTAAATGAGATTGCATAGTCTGCCTACTTAATTAAATTTTCATTCTGTTCTGCAGTAATGTGAAATATTTTTTTTTTAGGGTGGTTTGGAATTCGCAAAGACTTCTGCCAGTTCCTGCTTGAAATTTTCCCATTCTTACGAGAATATGGAAATATTTCTTACGATCTTCATCATGAAGATAATGAGGAAACAGAAGAAACACCACTGCCCGAACCCCCAAAAATTGCACCAATGTTTCGAAAAAAGACTGGAGTGGTCATTACACAGAGTCCTGGAAAATATGTGATTCCACCTCCCAAATTAAATATTGATATGCCAGATTAAGATGACAGTAGCATATTAAACTTGAACTGGGAATCAGCAGACAAACGTATTTCATCTCATGCCTTGTCCCAATTACTTTAAAATAGGTATTGCTGAATCAGTGGCTTGGATTACACAAATCGGAGATCTTGACAATAATCTGAGAGCTTTTCCAGAGAGATGTGGTGGTCTAATTTGTGAACCTTCCTGACTGGTTGGTTGCACGCTTGCCTGTATAGTATTTATATGAACACTTTAGCAGTGTAATATATTGTTTAAAAGTCTTGTTGTGTACAGTATAAGTATTATCTAAAAGTATTTTTTTAAAAACCCTGTATGAAATACCTATGCTATTCCAGGTGTGTCTTAGCTTCTAAATATACACTTGATTTCCATGTCTGTTTTAAATGCTTCGGGGATGTCTTAGTATAGTACCTCTTTCCTGCTACTTCTTTTCAGCCACAATCATTGTCTTAACCACAGAGGCGCAGGAGTGTTGCACTTGGGCAAGACTGGAAAGCTTTTTTTGGGCGAAAAGGAATGTATACAACTTACATGACATTTTTGAGTTAGCTGTGTAAATTTTCATGGAAGTATTTCAACTTTTGCACTGACTTTGGAGTTAAGCGTTGCTGTTGTTGCTTTTCCAGTTTCATGTTTTAATTCTTCTGGAGCAGCACGTGCACCAGTCTCCCATTAGACTGGGTGTTTAATAAGCTGCTCCCTCTTGCATTGTGTGTGCAGTCTGTCCCAGAAATATTGGTTGTAGGTTTTGGAGCTGTTGGTTAGCTGGTATACATATCATAGCTTGGTCTTCATTACCAACTTTGTATTGGTGTAAATGATGAAACTTTTCCAGATAGGAACTTGTTGGTGTTGGTATAGCATTATCTAGTTTGAAGAAAGACCTCCTTTGACAGACTGTTTTGGACTTCTAGGTGCTTAAGAGAAATTTCATCTTTGAAACCTATACTCCAGTAGCTTATAACAGCAGATGCTGGATACTCCTACATCCTTGCAGCTGCTCTTTGCATTTAGGTGAATCTACAGTTTAGGTAGCTTAAATACCATGGATCGTGCTTCCTTAGTGTTAGCAAGGCAATGAGATAAGAGCAAAGAGTGTATGGACACTTCTGCATGTCTGAAAGGGGTGCACCTGAAAAACTTCAGAGAAGTGTTGCTTTCATTCCTAACACTGCAGAGCTCCCTCTTCCTCCCTGCGGCCCAGCTACAGGCTGAAACCCAACACAGCACTGTCCTGTTACTACACTTAAAATTTCATTGCAGTTTCATTTAGTTTTTGGCTCTTGAGTCAAAAAAAAAAAAAAAAATCCGTAAATGAAAAGCAACAAGTGCTGTTTAGCACTTGCTGCTGCTGGTTCACGTTGCCAGGAGGTGGACACTGCTCTGCGATGTCACAGCAGCACAGCATGGGTGTCAGTGATGTTTGAGAATCTTCCCTTGGGATGCTCAGTCAGTTGGTCACTTCCTTTCAGCTGGCTGTCTGGCAGGACAGTCTAGCTGCTAAGGTAGATGGCTTCAACTGAAAAACTTACTCAAACTGAGAAAAAAGAACTTAAACTGGAGCTTTCCTCGTTGGAAGAGTCATGTGATTCTGTTCTGGCCAAGGGAGTTGACTTGTCAGGCTTCACTTCTCTCCATCCAGCATGTGACAAGAGGGCAGCCTAGTTGACACTGCCTTTGGACCGCCAATAGAAGAAAGGGCTTTACAGACTTTGACTAAGTGACCCCAGTCAACAAGAGAGCTTCTGAATTCATGTGAGGAGAACTCTAGCACAGGTGATGCCTCGACATGCCTCAGCTTTCTGAAGAAGCTCTGGAATGTTGTTGAAAGCGATTGGTTTGAGTCCATTTGGTGGGGGGACAACAGAAAGTGTATAGTGATTCATGAAGAGTTGTTTGAAGAGGAAGTACTAGCAAGAAGAGGATGTCTTGAGAATTTTTGAAAGTGAGAGCATGAGAAGCTTCACTCGTTATTTCCATATGTACGGATTCACCAGAAAGCTGTGGGATTTTCCAAAACCAGGCTTGTGCAATGACTTGCTAGCAGAAGAAACGGCTAGGGAGGTACGTTGGATCCTCTACATGCAAACTAAAACTCAGAATATTCTAGTGGGACAGATTTCTGTTTTAATGAAATAAGCCTTTACTACATAGGAGATGAGGGGATGGTGGTAAATGTTCTGATTGTCATTTGTTTCTTGGCTCCTGTCCAGGAGTTTGAGGTAGCATTTCTGAGCAGTAGAAATGTTGACAAAACAAAATTTCCAATTACTTAGAACACAAATGAAGATATTATCATTGTTATAGGATTATTTTTTGGTATTTACTGTGTGTCTTGCTGTACCAGATGTGCAATTTGCTGCAGGCTGAGGAGGTACATGTCAGCATCACGTAGCTACCTCCATGTTCATTCCACACTAAAGTTGCTGAAAAGTAATGGTATGTGGGTTTCTAAATCAGTTGGCATGCTTCTGAAAATCCTATGCTTCCCCACTACCAAGTGGCAAAAGCACAAGCCTGGTTACTATTTAAAATGGGGCGATGCAGTGCTGTTGTTCAGCCTGCACTTCAGGTTTAGAACACCCCTGGTAGTCCATTTTAACACCCACATTTCTCTTTAGCAATTAAAATTCTTAGTTCTTGTATCTTTGTGGTCTCTAATCTCAAGGTGGTGGCAACTAACTCTTGTCCTTTGCATTTGTTTAGTTCTACTACAACTCAAATTTTAGAAGAAATTTTCTGCATCTGCTAATGAAGTATAAGCAAAGCTTTGGTGCAAATAATCAAACATCAGCAGGACTTTCATCAGACATGGATTTGCATTCATGCTGCCAGAACAGAAAGCCAGATGCTGATCTTGTGTGGGAAACCACTGCCGAGGAGTGGTCTGCTTGCAGCAGGTCCAAGGGAGAATATGCACACCTCTGCACCCGGGAAGACTAGACTGCCCCTGCCAAGCGACATGCCAAGGCAGTTACCTGCGTTAGACATGCCTCTACATCTGCACGCACTGCTGCTCTGACAAATTCAGACCCTGGGGCAGCAGTAGGCAGGGAGCAGCTCAATCCTCTACCCTCCCTACCTTTTGCCACAGCACAGCAGCCCTGGCCTGGCTGGCGTGGAGGGTGGTGCTGCTGCTGCACCAGGTAATGCTATGCTGGCCATGCCCAGCAGTCACTTTCCACCAGGGCTGGCACCTCCCACCTCTCCAGTGGGGCTGGCAGCAGCTGCTGCTCTGTCTACACCAAGGCCACTTTGGGGCCAAACTCCTCTGCACCACCACTGCCCCACTGGCATTTGTGGTCCAAACAGCAGAGCTGCAGGCACTGGCCCTGGACCCCAACCTGGGGCATGCCAGGTACCTTCCACAGCTCTCCCAGAACTTGCGTCTCCTAAGTGTTCCAATAAACTATTTGAATACAAAGCCTCTGCCAGTTGTCCTGTCCTGCTTTTATAGCTGTGCCTGGCCTTGGGCCTTGCTCCAGAAAGCCAAAAGGATTTTATTTTTTTTTTGTAATGCAGGGTGTGAATTTCGAAAAAACTCTGGAAGTGTCAAAATTAGTGACTTCTACTTGTTTTCACACTTTAATATTAGATTTTCAACACTTAAGATGAAAAATCTTAGTAATGAGAGAAACAAATATTGTAATACTTCCTTCATTTAGTTTTGTACAAGCACTTTCCTTCCAATGAAGGCCTTTCTCCAAAGGCTGTCAGGCCACAGAGCCATATACTGCAGACTGCTCCCCCTGCCATATGCGCCTCTCTAACCTCCTTTACAGTGCGTAATGCACACTGTGTGCAGAAACCTCATCTGGCAACTCTCTGCCTGTTTGAGAAGCCCTTAGGGCTGGCCTTATCTCAGGTGATTTCTTTCTCAGTGATTCCATGCATGTAAGGTTAGGGGTGGGCTGTGAGACAGATGTCATGTTACTAGTGGCAGCCTGCTTTCAAGCACTGTTTTCCTGAAGGGTCCTACAAATTGTGTCTTCCTCATATAATCAGGGATGCATGTATCATGTTATATGGTTGAATTTACTCATATTTTCAATTGGCACACAGTGGAGCAACCATGTTTTTTAAAAAAAATAACATTTACTTAAGAGTTCATTATATAGAAAAAATCTAGTAAACCATTAATATTTTCCAGTAATGGTGATAAAAATTCTTCAGTTCTTCAAATGTATTTGCTGTTGCAACTAGTTTTGGAAAGGAATCCTGAACAACTCACTGGCATTCAAGATGCTGGCTTGTGAATTACAAGTTTGCCTTTAGGCAGGAAAAATTCTAGTGAGGGGCAACACCTACGCTTCTGAAGGGATCAGTTCTTCGGGGATGTCCACCTGCCACACACCTCTTCCCCCTCTGGCAGGAATTGGTTCCAGGAGCCATCTTGGATTTGAGATAACAGTCAAGTATTTCTGTTCTAGATTACTGAGAACAGCTTTGTTTTCCAAATCCAGGATCTTTTCAGGAGGCAAGTTTTCTGGATACAGTGATGTCTCTCCAATGTCAATTAATCCTGTATTATAAAATTAAAATATACAA